GTAGGCGCCACATTGCCAGTGCCTCCAGCTCCAGCACCCCCAGAACCAGCACCTCCACCACCGACACCCCCGGGGCCTCCAGTACCTCCCGCAAGAACACCCCCAGGCTCCGCAGCAACCGGCCGCAGAGAAGAACGAGGAGGAAACTACGGGACGGACGGGAAGCCAGGGGGTGACGCGGGGCGAGGCTGCCGAGTCGAGACTGCCATGTCCTCCACGGGAGTGACCTCCACACCCACACCCCCTGCACCCCCAGAGCCGACACCACCAGCTCCAGCAGCCCCAGTACCCTCACCCTCCGCAACTGCACCTCCCGCACCCCCAGACACGACAGTGACTGGACGCTGCGGGGGGGGGCGACTGCGGAGTGACGTGCGACACACCTGACGGGGCAGGACACGAAGGGGGGGGGGCTACCGGGGCGACTGGGGGGGGCTCAAGAGTGAGGAACAGCGGGGGGGAAAAGACCTTAGTACCTCGGTGGGGGCGACTCCTGTAGTAACAGACAGGCTCGTCGAACGTGACGTCCTGAGAGACGAAGAATTGGTAGGTGACCGGGTCGTAGAACACCCAGCCGGAGGCGTCCAAAGGGAAGCCAAGAAAGACGCAGGCACGAGTGCGCGGAGACAACTTGTTCGCGCCAGGGGCACGAATGTGAGCCAGAGAACCCCAGACACGGATGTCAGCTGCTACACCCGGAGAACCTGTCCAAAGGGAGACCGGCGTCACCCGTGGCCGTGCGTCACTGGGCCACAGGTTCAGCTGGTGCGCGGCGTAGCGGACTGCCTGAGGCCACAAGAACCGGGGGGCATCCGCATGGCACATGGAGGTCCGGGCAACCTCCATGACCAGGCCGATGTGTCGCTCGGCTACCCCGTTCTGCTGTGGCGAGGCTGGTAGCGTGTAAGACTGGATGATCCCCCTACCCTGACAGAATGTCTCCAGGCGAGTGGAAGAAAACTCACCACCACGGTCCGAGTGGAGGCGGAGCCCACAAAGGCCCTGGGCGCCACCCCACGCTAGTAGCCATGGCTCGAGGACAGTAGGCACGTCGGCCTTCCGTCGCAAAGGGAAAACCGTGGTGTAGCGGGAGTAGTCATCGACCAAAATCAGGAAGTAGCGCTCCTGACGTGGGCCAAGGACCGGGGAGGGGCCCCAGACGTCCAAGTGCAGGGTCTGGAAAGGAGCCGTGGTGGGGGGGAACGAGGAGGAGTGAGGGGCAGCGCGCTGCCGACCCTCGACGCAAGGAGTGCACGGCGGCACAGGCGAGCGAGGAAGCGGGGCTAGCAACTCTGGGAGACCTGAGACCAGACGGTGACGTACCATCCTACGGAGAGGTGGGAACGACGGGTGACCTAGACGGTGGTGCCAGAGGACCGACGGGTGGGTGAGGGACCGACAGTCGCACGACACAGCAGCTACCTGACCTGACCTGACCTGACCTGACCTGACCCAGTGTGGTGGGACCCAGTGTGTAGTGAGTACAGACCAGAGCCCGGCTCCCTGTGAAAAGTGGCCAGAAGGGCCCCAGTGGCACCGCTTGTGTAGGAGGCAACAGGCTCGTCCTTTGGGAAAGTAGTGACTACACCTAGGTCGTGGAGGTGACTGACACCCACCAGGTGCCCGGAGAACGAGGGGGTGTAGTAACCTGTGAGGAACCCAGAGGGAGCCGCCGGACACGGGAGAGTGGTGGTGCTGCGAGCAACTACAGGTCCCACAGAAGGGTCAGCCAAGGCGACAATGACTGGAGTGCGCAGTGGTGTGAGGTCAGTACAGTCGCGAAAGAAACAGCTGGACGCTCCAGAGTTTAGGGTGAAGGAAAGCTGTGCAGACTGTGAGGTCGCACCCGAGCTAGCGACAAAGGCTGGTGCTAGACTAGTGGTAGCTGCAGCTCCTACAAAATCACTCTCAGAGGCGCCTGGACTGGAAACAATACACGCACCAAGGCTGGAAATACAGGTCTCTACTCGTGCAGCCGGGAAAGGTCCTAGACCAGGTAGGTGAGACTCAACTGGTGCAGCAGTGCGCTGGCAAAGACGCGAGGGCCAGTGCGGTGTAATAGCATGAGGACCAAAACGCTCACGGTGGAGGTCGTCGAGTCGACGATAGCAGCTGGACGCAGAGTGGTCAGGACTCCAGCAGGTGGTGCCAGCATCCGGGCCAGTCAGGATCCGGTACTCGCAGGGACCGACGTCGCGCCCACGACTTGCTGAGCCGCTGCTGCAGCCGGTACTCCTAGGACCCTCAGGTCCCCACTGCCGGGAGTGCTGTAGTTGCTGTCGCTGCGGCTGACCCTGCTGCTGCTGCAGAACTCTAACACACGCCATGGTAGGCACTAGAGACGGCCGAGCGCGGTGGGGAGTGGCTAGGAGGGTTGCTGGCTACAGCCTATGCTGCTGCTGGTTCTGCTGGGGGCAGCCTATGCTTCTGCTGGTTCTGCTGGGGGCAGCCTATGCTGTTGCTATTGCTGCTGGGCAGGCTATACTGCTGCTGGTTCTCCAGGGGGCAGCCTATGCTGCAGCTGGTTCTGCTGGGGGCAGCCTATGCTGCTGCAAGTTCTGCTGGGGGGCAGCCTATGCTGCTGCTGGTTCTGGTGGCAGTCCAAGCTGCTGCTGGTTCTGGTGTGTCAAGAGCGGTGGGGAGCGGTTCTGGGCGGTTCTGGGCGGTTCTGGGCGGTTCTGGACGGTTCTGGCCGGTTCTGGCCGGTTTTGGGCTGTCCTGGGCGGCAGGTACAGGGTGGGGCGGCGGGCCCAGGGTGGGGCGGGACAGGTGGGGCTGCTGGCGCGTTTCTAGTAGCTGCTGGCACTGCTGGGGCGTTCCTAGTAGTTGCTGGCGCTGTCGGGGCGTTCCTAGCAGTTGCTGGCTCTGCTAGCACGGTTCTAGCGGCTGCCGACGCTGCTAGCACGGTTCTAGCGGCTGCTGGCGCTGCTGGGGTGTTTCTAGCGGCTGGTTTCAGGTGGGGCGGCTGGTTTAGCTCGTGGGGCGGCGGGTTAAGCTCGTGGGGCGACGGGTTTCAGGTGGGGCGGCGGGCACAGGGTGCGGGGAGGCGACGGGATGGGGACGGGAGGAGACGGGGACGCGAATCCGAGGGCGAAGGGGGCGTGACGCGGAGGGGGGACGGGGACGCGACGGGGAGGGGACGGGAGGTGACGGGGGCGCGACGGGGACGGGACGGGAGGCGATGGGGGCGCGACGGGGAGGATGACGGGGGTGTCGCGATATATATTTATATATGTTTATAACTGCCTGTAGCTTTAGCTTTAGTGTAGTTATGTTTCTTTGTTGTGGTGGTGCACCTCTTTGTTTCCTTGCTATATGTTCTTGCAAACCTATAGTGAAGACACACATTCTCGATTCTCTCTTGGCACAACTCCCTCGACACCCGCTTGGCCTAGGCTACTAAGCCTAGGCCCTTAGTTAAACCCGTTCCTAGCTAAGTTCGTCTCGTGACATGGTATCAGAGCGAAGGTCTCGGGTTCGAATCCCAGTGTGTCCACTTCGGGCATCCCAGTGCGGGGGGGTGTCAGAGGTCCACTGGTTATCCCCGATTGATCCTAGGGAAGGGTTACAGGCTCGTTGTCCTGGGGGGTTATGGGCGCACTGACCCGCTACTTAACAAGCCCTTTTATCCCAATGGTCTAGTGGTTGGGATTCTGACATGGTATCAGAGCGAAGGTCTCGGGTTCGAATCCCAGTGTGTGCACTTCGGGCATCCCAGTGCGGGGGGGTGTCAGAGGTCCACTGGTGATCCCCGATTGATCCTAGGGAAGGGTTACAGGCTCGTTGTCCTGGGGGGTTATGGGCGCATTGACCCGCTACTTAACAAGCCCTTTTATCCCAATGGTCTAGTGGTTGGGATTCTGACAGGGGGCGCGACGGGGAGGACGACGGGGACGCGACGGGGAGGGGACGGGGGGCGACGGGGGCGCGACTCGGAGGGGGGGACGGGATGTCACCGCATATGCAAGGAATGCATTTGCAATAACAGTAGCGTGCGGTGCTGAGAAGTAGTATTAGAATAGTTAGGAATATAGTGAAGTAGATGAATAGGAGGTAGTGTAGCTTTGCAGCCAGTAGCGCAGTGTCGGTTGCTAAGGGGTGTAGAAAAGGGGGGAATATATGAGAGCGGGTTGGGATAGCGGGGGAAAGGCACCGAAGGGCGAAATGGGGATTTGAACGAATCCCAACCTCGAGCCGCACATTGGAAATGTGCAAACCGAGGTTGGGTAAGTTCACCCACGCCAACTCACTCGATGCCTATTGTGTGGTATTCTCTCAGACTAGTGGATAGTTGTCATACTAGCCTCAACACGCAGCGACACAGCACTAAGGGGGAACATGTGGGGTGAGGGAGCAATCCCGTTCATACCACACAATAGGATCTAGCCTGTAGTTATGGATAAGTACGAGCTTCGTTGGGGCCGGGTGTTTAGTCGCCGCGAAGAGGAACGGGCGCGGCGTGAGCCGTCACGTGAGCGCGGGCGATCCTTAGAGCGCTCGCCGCGCAGGCCGGCTTTCCGCGCAGATCGAGTGCCGGTCGCTAGGGACCAGCGGGCGGAAGGGAGGCCGAGAGTAGGAGCGTACGCCGCTAGCGCGGACGGAGACGCGGGGCAGAGAGAGCGAGATCGCGGAGATAGCAGGCATGGGAGCGACGACCGCCGCGCCGTGGGAGAATTTCGCTCGCCGGAAGGACGCGGGCGCCGCCGCGATGAGAGAGGCCGCTGGCGTGGCGTTGAGAGGTTCGACGCCGCCCGAGCGGGGGAAGCCGCCCACGGGGAAGAATCATGGGAAACTTCTAGCGAGGAGGAGGCGGAAGAGGCCGGCGCACACCTGGAGCGAGCGGCCGAAGACGCTGACGGAGGGGATGACGAGGAGGAGCCCGTGACTGGGATCGGAAACGCCGAGCCTGGAGCGGCAGAGGTCGCCGGGAGTGCAAGCCAAGTGGGAGCGGGAGGATCGCAATCGGGACGGCAGGAATTGCGCGAGCGGGACGCCAACCGTCAGGAGGAGCAGAGCGCGGAGGGGCTGCGTCGACAGGAGCGGCGGGACTGGGGCGTGCGCGCCGGCACTAGTGGGGCGCAAGGAGAACGCAGCAGAAGCGACATGGGCGGGCTGCGCGCAGCAAGGGAAGAACCGCGGCGGTGGGAGCGGCAGCCTGTCAACCCTCGCGCACTCGACGGGCGGCGGGCGCAGGAAGCGGCGGGACTGGGGCGTGCGCGCCGGCGCTAGTGGGGCGCAAGGAGAACGCAGCAGAAGCGACATGGGCGGGCTGCGCGCAGCAAGGGAAGAACCGCGGCGGTGGGAGCGGCAGCCTGTCAACCCTCGCGCACTCGCCGGGCGGCGGGTCGGAGACGGCGCACTATCGCCAGGCAGGCAGGTGATGCGCAGGGAAGGCGAAGAGGACGAGCCACGCGCATCCAGTCACTACTGGCGGCGGGGAGAGGGACACGAGGAAGGGTCCAGTTCGGCGGAAAGGCGCGGCCAGCGGCAAGAGGAGCGAAGCGGGGTGGCGTGGACAGCCGGCCCGCAGGAGCAGTGGGAGAGGAGGACGGGCGGGGAATTTCGCTCGCCGCTCGGCAGGCGGCAGCGGGGAAGGGAAGATGGCGGGGACGGGCGCGTGCCCGTGGATCGGCGGCGGCAGGAGAGGGGCGCAGCTTGGTCACCGTCGCCAGAGAGGTGGCGGCAGCGTGAGACAAGCGCGACATGATGGGGGGGTGCACGAGTCTCGCCGGCACGAATGCGAGGACGCGCGGATGAGGAGAGGGGCAGAAGGGAAGCTCACGGGGACGCGGGCTGGAGCCGGCGAGAAAGCAGAGCGGGTGGAGGAAGCTTGGCACATGGCGCGGAGCGGGCCCGGGAGGCCAGGGAAGGGTTGGAGAGGGCTAAGGAACGGGGGACGGAGGGAGAGCGGCTGGGAAGGGGCAGGAAATCATGGGGAGATGGGCGGGGAGGTACGGCCAGCGCGACGCGGGTGGAGGTACCCGCCAGGTTCTCAGGAGACCAACGGGCAGGGCCTGCCCTCAAGAATTACTTGATGCAGGTGGGGAATGTGAAATACCGTTGTGACCGGCAAGGCATGGACCCGATAGACTTCTTTTTGAGCCTACCGAACACACTGGAGGGAGAGGCGGAGACCATGTACCGCATGAGGATGGACGAGCTGCTGTGGAGGGCGGGGAGGTACGGGGAGGATCCGACTGAGGCATTTCTGGAGCGACTGCAGCGTCAGTTCCCGGGGCACACGGCGGAGCGCATAAAGGAGTTTCAGGAGTTCAGGAGGGGGCGGACAGAATCCCTACTGACCTACTACAACCGACTGATCAATCTGGCGGAGGATGTGAAGTGTTCGGACAGCAGCCTCCTCATCAGCAAGTTTCTTGGAGGCCTGGACGAGGCGCTGGGGGGAGGACTGAGAATGAGGGTGTATGAGTTGGGGGCAGAGGCGGCGCTAGAAGAGGTGTTTGACCTGGCAGAGAGGGTAGAGCTAGCACAAAGGAAGTACGAGGCCTACCTGCCAAGGCCGATGGAGAGGAGCCGCAGACCAACGTGGGCGGCAGCGATGATACCGGAAGAACGGGGGAGGGTGGACGCGCATAGAGAAGAGAGAGCCGACACGCGGGCTTGCTACCGATGCGGACAGCTGGGGCACCTCCGCCGAGAGTGCAAGAACTGTGATGGCTGCGGGAAGCCTGGGCACAGGAAGTGAGAGTGTCCTGAGGCAGCAAGGTGTGAGGTCTGCGGGAAGAAGGGGCACGAGGACAAGGAGTGCTACCAGCGGGAGGGAGGGGCAAGGAGGAAGCCGGAAGAGCTGCAGCGACAGATCAGCAGGCTGCAATCTCAACTGCAGGCCATGGGGCCAGGGTGGGGAGCGGAGGCAGGGATGTATGCCAGGGACGAGGAGGGAGAAGGGGTGGAGCCGGACGTGCAGTGTGCCCTCATGGCATGGAGAGGCAGGGAAGAGATGGGGCTGCGCAGCGGGGGGAAGGATGGCAGGCAGGAGCATAGCAGGAAGCCACGTGAGCAGGGGTCCAAGCCGGACGCGCCAGCGGCAGAGAAAATCCCAGCCCGCCACCCGCAGGAGAGGCTCGCGTGCCAGACCTCAGTGTTGCTTATGGAGGCAGGAGCAGTGGAAGTGGAGGGGAGGAAGGTAAAGACAGCGATCATTGACACTGGAGCACAGAGCGTGATGTTGGGTAGGGGGATGGCCGAACGGTTGGGGCTGATGGCACCGGAGAGGCACGTGGCGAAGGGGATGCTGGTCATGACGGCAGAGGGAGGGGAACCAAAGTGGATGCCGTGCACGCGGACCCCATAGAGTTGACCCTGCTGCCAGGAGGAGAGCATGAAACGAGGATCAGGATGAAGTGTGGGATCTCGGAGTCTGAGGACTTCGATCTGCTGGTGGGGACTGAACTGGTGTTCGCTGTAGGCATGAGCATATGTACCTGGACAGAGAAGGTGGAGTTCAGGACGAGGTACTGGAAGAAGGAGGGACCATTGGGGCAGCTGCCAGTGCAGTTTGTGAAGGTAGAACCGAAGCGGGCCTATCAAGTCGGGGCAGGAGGGGCACAGAAGGGGCAGGAAGGGACAACAGAGGCCAAGGGGGGGCCTTGGATGAAGCCGATGGACAGGCCGGGGCAACAGAGCGACTGGCAGCAGCCCATTCGGCTGGTGGAGTTGTTTGGGGGCATTGGGGCAGGGCTGGCAGCAGCGGTGAGAAGTGGGATTGCAGTGCAGCAGTGGATCTATGTGGAGCAGGCACCACAGGTGCGAAGGATGGCTGAACATCATGCGCGGCAGCTGAGAAGGGAGTTCCCGGACCTCCTGAGCGAACGAGTGATTCAGGATGCCATGAGCGGTACCGTGCACGACGTGAGTCAGATCACAGAGGAGCAGGTGGCTAGCTGGGGGCAGGTGGACCTGCTGGTGGCGGGATGGGAGTGTCAAGGAGTGTCATGGGCCGGAGGAGGAAAAGGGGGAGAATTTGGACCCGAGGACGCAGCTGATGGACAACCTGTTCAATATCTTGGAGTGGCTGCAGGAAAGGCAGGGACTGCAGAGAGCCGATTCGGCTGGTGAGGGAGAAGATAGGCAGGCACTTGTCAAACATATATGATATAGCCTGTTTAGGCTGTAGTGGGTTAGACATTATGGGGTACAACTTTTCTAGGTTTTCCTATTTGTACCCATCTCATTTCTAGTTCATTCATTCCTCGCTAGTATTCTCACATGGTATAGAGCGGGTTCCCTAGAGGGACCGTTTTCCTTAGGGCCCACCACTTCGATTTTTTTTTTTTCCTGCCCTGCCCGAAGCGCGTATCGCGCTCTGCCCTATTGCCGCCGTAGCGGCCCTACCCTTTCGGCCCGTCGCGCCCTTAGCGGCCCGCCCTGCCGTCGCGGCCCTTAGCGGCCCGCCCTGTCGCCTTTAGCGGCCCGCCCTGCCGCCCTTAACGGCCCGTCGCCGCCCTGCCGCGAACCGCCCTGCCGTCCTTAAGCAGCCCGCCCTGCCGCTCTTAGCGGCCTGTCGCCGCCCTTAGCGGCCCTTCGCGGCCCTTCGCGGCCCTTCGCGACCCCACCCTGCCGTCGCGGCCCTTCGCGGCCCCACCCTGCCGTCGCGGCCCTGCCGCCCTGCCGTCGCGGCCTTGCCGCCCTGCCTTTGCGGCCCTGCCGCCCTGCCGTCGTGACCCTGCCTGGAGCTGTCGCGGCCCTGCCTGCCGCCGTCGCGGCCCTGCATGCCGCCGTCGCGGCCCTTCCTACGCCGCTGTTGCGGCCCTGCCTACAGCCGCCGTTGTTGCGGCCCTTCCTGCGCCCGCGTCGCCGCCCTGCACTGCCGCCTCGTTGCGGCTCTGCCCGAAGCGGCCCTGCCCTGCCAGCGCGCCAGGGCCCTGCCCTGCCAGGTGCAGCCCTACCCCGATCCGCCCTGGTAAGCGCACCGCCGCACCCGCGCCGCCCTGCCGAGCCGCGCAGCCTTGCCGAGCCGCGCCGCCCTACCGAGCCGCGCGGCCCTGCCGAGTCGCGCTGCTCCTGCTACTACTACTGCTACTGCTACTGCTACTGCTACTGCTAATGCTGTCATGGCTAGCCCTAATGTACTCACCTTCGATGCTGAGGGTCGAGCGGTCGATTTTGAGGTCTGGGTCGATGATCTGCAGCTGTTTCTGCAATGCGATAGCAAGGACGGAGTCTCACTTTTTGATCTCACGTCTGGCGCCTCTGCTGCACCTGCTGCTGATGCTGACAGTGCTGTTCGCTCATAGTGGACCACGCGCGATGCTGCTGCCCGCCTTGCTATTCGTAGTCACCTGCCGTCTACTAAGCGCGCTCACTTTAGCCAGTACAAGACCGCTAGGACTCTGTACGACACTGTTGTTGCGCGCTACTCCTCCCCTGCCACTGCTGCCCTTAGCCGCCTCATGCTGCTGTACCTGTTCCCTGACCTAGCCGCTTTTGCCACAGTCGCTGACCTCATTACGCACCTCCGCACTAGTGACACCCGCTACCGCGATGCGCTTCCTACCGAGTTCTGCGCCAAGAACCCCCCCCCTATGTACATCACTCTCTACTACCTCGTCACCCGGCTCCCTGACTCCCTTCGCTCGGTCAGGGACCACTTCCTCTCCCTTTGCCCCACCACGCTCACCGTTGACCTCCTCGAGGAGCGCCTCCTTGCAGCTGAGAAGAGTATAGTCGCTGTAGGAGCCTCTCGTGGTGACCCTCGTGCCCCTTTCTTTGAGGGGTGCTCCCCCGTCCCTCTTGTGCCCTCTGTTGCCTCTGCTGCTGCTGTCGACCTCGTTGGCACCGAGTCGGTCGGCACTGCGTCTGCTCCTAGTGGGAGGCGCCGCTACGGCAAGGGCAAGGGGGGCAAGGGGGGTGGAGGGGATGGCGGGGGCGGCGGTGGTGGCGGTGGAGGGGGCGGAGGGGGTGGGGGTGGAGGTGGGAGTGGTGGCGGGAGTGGGGGCTTCGGTGGTGGCGGTGGAGGTGGAGGCGGCGGAGGCAGCGGCAGTGGGGGTGGAGGTGGCGGCGGCGGTGGCGGCGGTGGGGGTGGCGGAGGCGGTGGTGTGCAGCGGGGAGGCTCAGGCGGTGGCCAGCGCCAGCAGCAGCAGCGCCCCCGTGAGACCCCGTCGCCCCAGCAGCTTTGTGAGTGGTACGCTGGGCGTGGGAGGTCTGGGGGTGCTGGTCCCTGCACTTACGTTCTCCGCACCGGCGACCGCAGTGGAGAGACGTGCGGCGGCCCGCACGCCACGCTCCGCTGTTTCGGCCGCCTGACTTACGTCTGGTGTACACAGTTCCCTGGCTCCACTGAGATCCCTCGCTGGGGTGATCTGCTTAAGTCGGGGGTTGCTATCTTTGATCTTGATTATGATGCTATCCTTGCTGCTATGTATGCTGTGTCTATTAGTGCTGAGGGTGACTGTTACCTGTGTGTTCCGCCCGACCCGGGCATTGAGGCTGCTGCTCTAGGTGCTAGTGAGTCTGCTGCTCCAGGTGCTGGTGAGGCTGCTCTCTCAGGTACCGCGTCGGCTCAGGTCTTGCACACTTTCACCCTTGACTCGGGTGCTTCCCGCTCCTTCTTTCGCGACTGCACCACACTCTCGGCGCTCAGTCGGCCAGTGGCAGTCTCTCTGGCTGACCCCTCTGGGGGTCCGGTCCTTGCACACTCCTCGACGGTCCTGCCGTGTCCGGCGGTCCCGTCTGGCTCTCTGTC